ATATATATATATATAAAATACAAAATCAAAGAACTGGGCGTCGTTTACCTTACTGGAGAAAAAGAGAGAGATCCCCTCCCCTTCCTTGGACAGACAGTAACGTAAAATCTGAGAGAGGCGGAGAGAGAGAGAGATGACGGCGCGGAGGAAGATGGTGCTGGGTTGCATTTTAGGAGTATTGATTTGTAGTAGCAATCTTTTCACGGTTAGCCAAGGGGTGTGGTTGAATCTGCCTCCTACCGGTACCAAGTGCGTGTCCGAGGAAATCCACAATAACGTCGTCGTTTTGTCTGATTACGTTGTCGTTTCTGATGACCATTCCCATATCCCCACCATCTCTGTTAAGGTAACCCAATTTTTCTTTTTTCTTTTTAATTGATACACTGTGATATGAATCTCTTACGATGAGTCTTAAATTAATTATTTTATTAGAATCAATTTTTCCCCTTGTTTTTGTTCCCTATGTGCAAGATGTGTTATACTTAGAAATTCGTAGGTATTACTGGAGTAGAACCTCGTATAAAAGTGGTGCCCGTCACAATGGCAAACTCCTTCGCTCGCCCATTGTAATGAACATGCATTAGGCTTGGTGAGGTTGATAATAATCATACAGCATATCCTCGATAAGCTAATAACTTTGATTAAATAATATTTTTGTTCGTCCCCACTTAAATTTAAATTTTAAATAATATATTGATGAACTAATATCTCTATTAATTAATAATTTTTTCATGAACCCGATGGCATTAATTTATAGAGGTTTAACTGTATATGGATCGTGCTTTCTCTACGTGAGGGAGAGAGGAGTGATGTTAGATATTAAGAAAGTATGATAAAAAAATTTAAGAATACACTTGAGTTGTTGGATTATGATTTTAAAGGAGGATTCACTTGTAGGGCTGTTGTGTTAGTGTGACTGTGTGTTTTTGAAGTATTTTCTTGTTGTATTTTTCATAACATTTTGCATTACTTGGTGGGAGTTAGTACTTAATAATTCTTGTTTTATAACTTAAACTTGCACTTGTTCTTACTTTTTTTTAAAAAAAAGGTCCATGAATAATTTTACAGTAGGTGCTGCATTTATGTGACATATGAGAGTATTACTTAACTCTTGGTATATCTAATAATTTCTCTTTCATGGAGGTCTTAATTGTTCGAACTTTTATGGCTAAATATCCATTATTCCCTTGTTAAGTTTGCTTAAGCATTGTCCTCAATTGTTTGTTTCTTCTTTAGGTGACATCACCATATGGGAACACCCTTCACCAAACAGAGAATGTGACTCATGGTCAATTTGCATTCACGACTCATGAGGCTGGCAATTACCTGGCATGTTTTTGGGTGGATGGTCATGTTCAAGGAGACGTGAGTGTTAACATTGATTGGAAAACTGGAATTGCTGCTAGGGATTGGGATTCAGTTGCTAGAAAAGAGAAGATAGAGGTAAGAGCAAGTTAAAGATAACACCGCTGGTAGTCTAGTGATGAGTTTCTCTGTGAGTCAAAAGCTTCCACAGCTTTTATTCACTTGTCAATTGGATCGCACTTCTTTATCTTGTTTCAATACCATATATCCGAAGTTTTGCAGTGTTGACAAAGTGGAGATCGGGTGCTGGGTTTTGTTTGTGCTAGAGTTCTTCTAACTCAGATCATCATGCACATGGTATTAATAAGAGAGAACAGAAAGGTTTTTTTATGACTCTCTACCTTTCCTTGAACTAGCCGGAAAACATAAGACATTGGTGAAGTTCATAGTTGCAGACCCTAGGACAAGAACTTATCTTATATATAATCGTGGAAGTGCTTCTGATGTTAGATTTTCGTTTAATGGACATTGGTTATTGATTATGGAATAAGCTTATAGTGCTTTCACCTAGGCAATTAAAAAGCGCCCCCCTCCCCCCACAAAGATGCACTTGTAATTCATCCGTGGCCATGTAGTTTTGTTTCTGATTTTCTTAATATTCGTATGCATGAATATATTTTAATTTATCCATATTTTAATTTATCCACCCATAGGGTGTTGAACTTGAGCTGAGGAAACTTGAAGGAGCGGTGGAGGCCATCCATGAGAATCTACTCTATCTCAAAACGAGGTATATTCTTCTCTACTTTGCAATCTGTTCTTTTCTTTCTATCTAGCAATTTCTCTTTTATTCAACTAAACAGTTTTTTTTTTTAATTATTATTATTGTTTTTATTGGATAATACTGACAGGGAAGCAGAGATGAGGTCTGTGAGCGAAACAACAAATACCAGAGTAGCATTATTTAGTGTGATGTCGTTGGGTGTCTGCATTGCTGTTTCAGCACTGCAAGTGTGGCACTTGAAACACTACTTGCAAAAGAAGAAGCTCATTTAGTATTGGTAATCAAGTTTATGTATCTTGGTGAAAGAAAGTTTGCTACTCGTTCTTTTCCTTGCATGTTGTAGAAGAAAATTTTAATACATGAATATAGCAATGTATACCGTCTCATCTCACCACTGATTTTTTGTTTTTATTTTTTATTTTTTTAACATTTAAGTTGAATGTTTGTTTTAATTTTAGTTTCAAGTGATATAGACTAACACTTCCTGGTTCCTTTATTGACATTTGCCTTTTACATCCGACCGAGGATGGTTTTTTATGGTCGGTCCTGTGATTAGGAAGAAGAGACTCGCATTTTACTTAATTGGCCGGACTAGTTTTATGGTTCAAAGCTAAAAGCAACAGGGAGTAGCAAGCTAGAGGTCGTGAAGGCTTTGAGGTTTGTTACTATTCAATGTCTCAAACGACTGAGAAATAGTCGTTAAAACTAAAAGTAATTTTTTTTATTAAATTTTTTTGTATTTATAGATTATTTTGGTGTGATGATGTTAAAAATAAATTTTAAAAAATAAAAAAATATTATTTTAATATATTTCTAAACAAAAAAGTATTTTAAAAAACAATTATCATTATAATATCAAACACTATTAAAGCCTTCTAAATTTGTATCATATCTTGAGTAGCTCCTAACAACTCAGCTGTTCTATGCGAGCATGCCTAATGCCTAGTTCTAGTTGGTAGACATTCATCAGAGCTCTAATTTAACCATGAAATGCAAAATTAATGTGATTAATTCAAAAAGATTATGAAATACAACAATTTGTCAACATTCAAGTTAAAAATTGGAGAACGTGTGAAACTAACAGTTGAAGAATGATTAAAGTTTCAAACATGTCAGCAGTTAAGACTGTTGACTAGTGAACCGAAGGATCAATGTGAACCTAATCAGTGTAAA